GTCCCCTGCATCGGCAGGCGGACTCCCAACCACTGTGCCACCAGGGAAGCCCTCTAAATGTTCTTTTACTTATCATCTATCACTTCTTTTCCATCTTCACCTCAATGACTTCAGGTTCTCATTCTCTTAGCCCAATCTATTGCAATGACCTCCTCCCAAGCTTCCTTGCTTCCACATGTTCACTACTGTCCACCTTTCATACTGATGCCAGAGCTAGCCATCTAAAATATGGAGCAGCAGCTTTCACTGCTCTCCTGCAAAACAACGTTTTTTTCCCTGCTCATAGTTTTAAGTACAGCTTTCAAAGAACAATGTAATCTGTTTCTTAAATAGCCATATCTTTGATCTGCTATTTCAATACTTGACAAAACCTATACTTCAACCACACAGATATACCCAATGTTCATCAAAAAGAATAAGAATAGAGTCTCCTTGTTTACTGGGCTCTCATTTTTTAGCTTAATATGTTCTACTGGCCTCCCAACTTCCCCAATCAAAATAAAATCCTTCCCATCTTTTAAGATGGAAATCAAAGGTTACCTCTTCTGTAAGGCCTTCACTAATCGTTTTTAGAATTAACTGGATCTTTGTCTGATTCTTATAAGGGCACTTCTTATGCATTGATTTAATGTTCACCGGACTTTGAAAATGGTTTACGTCCTGCCTTCCCTATTAGATTTCAGGCTCCCTGGGGGGCAGGGGCACTGTCCTGTTCATCTTTATGTCCACCTACAACAACTTATACAATGTATACTCTAAGATTAATAGAAGTGAATTTTGATGTATTAAAACAAAAGGCTGAGATAATGCTGCTAAAAGCATCTCAAGGAGCAAAAAGTCAATGGCCACTGCCAAATTTTGAAAAAGTGAAAGTTTAACCTTTCCATTTAATCTGCCAAAATGATACAGAAGAACAACCACAGGCAGACTACTTGGCTCTGTCTGCTAACAGTCACTGGTAATGTCACCCAAAGGAGAATCATTTTTGCCGTTCAATACCTGGTATTATCACTGTCATTGTGTTGGATTTTGAAACAGTTGATTAATTCATTTCTTTGGACCATGTACTTATCAGATGATGATTTCTAGACAATGGTCTAAATTTACTTAGGAGAACAGAAACCTATAAAGGAGAAAGAACTGCTAAAACAAATTACTTGTTATTTATTTGACCATAACCTACAGAAGCAAAATACAAAGAATCTAGCCCTCCTTTAATTCCTGTCCACCCATTTCCTCTGCCCAGATCCTGCTATATACAACACCAAAACACATACACAAATAATTTTCTTTAATAAGATCTTCTCAAGATACAGAAATAGTCATAATTTGCCTATGTTATTAGACTTTATATCCAATTTACTCTCAAATGAGATCTGTGGCAATAACACAGTAAGCACTCTTACAAAATAAAAATGCAAGAAGACAATGGCAAAGCTAAGTAGCACGTACAATTCCAAACTCATGTGGAGTAAGCATGCTGAGGTGATATCCTAGGGTAATGCCCCACGAGGCTGGTGAGGAGAGGAAGAGAAGACAAAGCAGGGGATGAAAAGTGGGCTCTCCTCACTGGAATGGGCCTGAGGAAGCAATCCTAGGTATAAAAAACATTAACCCTATAATATATAATTCTACTATGTAGTTTCTTTTATCTGAAGATGTTTCCGTTTTAAGAGACTTTACCACCAAAACCCCTTTCATAAAAAGCAAACATACCTGGGAGGAGTCATGCCTAAAGGTGTTGTCCATTAATATCCATTCTAGACTTACCTAATAGGAGTTATATATTGGTTTAGGGCAGAGTCTGTCAACCTTGACACTACTGACATTTTGGAACAAAAAGTTTTTGTTGTGGGAGGCTGTCCTGTATGTTGTAGGACGTTTAGCTAGCAGCATCCCTGGCCTCCATCCACTAGATATGAGTAGCACCCCTGAAGACAATCAGAAAGAGACATTGCTAAATGTCTCTGTGGAACGAAATGTACTCCCATCCCATTGAGAACCACTGGGCTGGGATACCCACATGAATTTCCCTAACAACCTAATGGGGCTGATAGTATCAAATTCATTTTCAGCTGTAGAAACTGAGACTCAAGGAAATAACGATACAGGTTCTAACTGGCAGAGTCAGCATTCAACCATTAGACATGCAAACTGAATGATCTTTCAACTAAGAAATAGTTCTTTCTTCCTTAGATCAGGTTTAGTAAATAATAATCTGGGAGTAAGAAATAGAGGACACATGTCTGAAAGGATCAAGACACCAGGATCAGTAGGGGCTGCAGAAAAGAGGTACTGTACTGATGCAGGTGGCTGGAGGGAAAAGGCAGTAGATAAACTTTACCAACTGGCCTGGCAATTTCACTTACAATCAACTTCTCTGCTCTTGTCACCTTTACTAGAGACTAGAGCTAATCCTTCTTCTCCGAAGAACATCCTTCTGGCACCTATGTCAAAATTGTATGGGTTTCACTAGTGGAAACCTAGAAAGACTGAAAAACAAAGCTGAGGTAGAAATGATTGTTGTAGGGGCCCTACTCAACCTTAGAAATTTGGAAACTTAAAACTAAAATTCCTGGATTGCTCTTGCTATGTTTCAAGAAATATTTGGCTCTGGGCCAGAGTTTAGGACCTAGAACTTTGAAACTGTGTGATCCCGAGAACTAAGTTATTATACTTAATGCCTATTGGTCTAGGTCCCCACTTCTGTCTACATAAAAAGAGAGATAATACATTTCCCCTCTCCCACCTTTATCCCTATCTAGAACGCCTTAAGGATAAACTGGAATCTTATTTGTGAAGTAAATACGTCAGCTATTACATGCCAACCTTGAAAATTATTAGGATATATCAACACTTTTTTGAGTTAATTTTTATTATACTCCATGTTAAGGCACAACATTGTTATACTTTTCTGAAAGTGTCTGCACTCTTCAAGCTTATTTTAATCTAGAAAAGAGAAAATGCAAAACTTATATACTCCACATGACTTTTTTTCAAAGCAAATTACCTGTGACAATTATGTACAAGGCTGGTTCTTAAATCTACTCTTGGGAACTGAGAGACAATCAGGACTCAAACATGGGCTCAGTGTACTGAGGTGGGTGGCTTGCTAGCCAATCAACAGCCCCTAATGAACACTGATTAATGAATTTACTCAACCTAGAGTTAGGATGCTAAGTTGCTAAGGCTTTGTCTCTAGCTCTATCTTTGCAACATTTTAAATCAACTACATGTGCGGAAAGCAAAGCAAGAAGTCCTCCCTGAAAGAAGGGTTCTTTTCCACAGTGTTCCTAGTGGGAAGGAGTCCATGCTATTACTGGACATTTCAAGAGACAGACACTCCACATTCTAAGAAAGCTGATTTCATTTCTGATTATTTCAGCCAGAAAGCTTGCATTATATTAAGTACAAATCTTAATATCGTGGAGCTACCCAAAGCTTGATTCCCTTCCAAATGAAAATACTTTATTTAATGATTCGCTATCATGTTCATTTACTCCAACACTATTCCATTCCATCTATATTCCAACCTCAATTTCAATTCCTTTCCAAATGATTTTAAATACTCTAGTTTATTTATATTTATCTTAAAGCGTGGTGCCCCAAACTGGATTCATACTCAAGTGACGAATAATTGGATATGATATATTAATGTTAAACAGCATTAGAAGCCTAGTTGCTTGGCACTTCTCTTGAGAACTGCCTCTGTCCTTTGATAAAACTAACTGTGGGCCACTTTTGGCTGTCACTCATGGCAAAACGCTGACTCGGTCAATAAAAGTATTACCTGCAACAGTTTCGTTTCATAGCTTGAATCCTAATTGAAGACATAAAAGCCTGGAATTATCTAGAGATAAACTGGTCTGTAGCATTCTGGCGGCAGTACCAAATGTCACTGAACAGATATCCTGGGCTAGATCATTTCTGTACTTTGGCCTGCTGGCCTACTAGCCCAAGGCATGGAAAAAAATTAAAGACGAATAGGCAAGAAAATGTTATATATAAATGTTCCCACAGGATGTACCCAACTTCTTCAGGCTACATAGAGCTCTTACTTACAATATTGGCAAGGTTGCTAAACATTATTGGGCAGAGAGAATCCACCTTTAAGACTGAGGTAGAGTCAGAGGTAGGAAATGCAAAATGTTTAAACTTTTCAATTTTAAGCACATTTGTATTCAAAAGACAGAGCATTAACCACTTACATACTTGGACTATCTCCACTACTGCTCCCCCCCCCCACACCGCATTCTTCCCCACCTCCACCCCCATTCCAATCAGCATCTACCTTATCTCTTCAGATTTAAGGTCTCTCCCACCCCTATCTTCCTTAAGTAATATGCAAGGTTTTGTTTTTTTTTTTACAGTAAATCTCTAGGAATAATAGCCCCTAATTCTGTGAAAAAATCAAAAATGAAGACTGCTAATTCTATATGGTACAAATGGTGAGGGCAGCAAAAGGATGATTATACAGAAGAGGGCTAGTCAGGAAGGACCTTAAGGCAGATCTCAGAGGTGGCCGGAGATGCTGTGTGTCGGGGAGATGGAAGTAACGTCAAGAACGCACTGCTACTCCAGGTCATGCCATCTCCAGTCCCCCACAAATACAGCTGTGTGCGGGAGGGTGAGTAGCACAAGCAGATTAGATTTGCTTTAACTATACAAAAGGCAACAGGGATAGGGAACCAGCTAAAACCTCTGGATGTACTGTGGCAATTTCCTGGACAAACAGGTCCCACTCTGTTGGGAATGTAAATCTTCATTGAGTGAGTGTACTGGTCTCATGAAGTAACTGGGAAGAACATTTACTGGGAAAGGCTGGCTTCCTCATTTTGAGGGTCTGCCTCAGTGTCCATAGTAAAGGTTAACATTTATTAAGTGCCAAACTTCATGCTAAGCATTGCATACAAATTACTTCATTTAATCCTCCCCAAAAGACAAGGATGAATGTTAATACTATTATCATTCCCATTATACAGATAAGGAAACTGCTCTGAGGGAGGTTAAGTAATGTGTATAAGGTCGTATAACTAGTAAGTGGAAGACCTGAATTAGAACTTAGTCTGAACACAGTACTCAGGGCCCTCAACCACTATGCCTTTCTGCCTCCATAGTAGACATAAACAAATGCCTATTTACAAATCATTAACCTTTAATCACATTTAATTCTAGAACACAGTTAACCAGTACATGGCAGAAAAAAGACACCAAAAGTGTCTGCTGTAATGCATGAGTTCAAGTGAGTTTTTAGGAAGTAACTTACTGAAGACACAAATGGTAACAGAGGTTCAAACGCTGGCGACTCTAAGCCTTAGTTTTCTTATTTGAAAAATGGGGAAACCAGCCCTATCTATCTCACAGCACTGGTGAGAGCGGTAAATGAAATAATTAAATGTATACAAAAGCATTCTGTAATCTGCAAAGCACTATATTCTATTAGCTATCAGTTTTGTTAAACACAGGAAGCATAGGTAGGCAAAATCAACCAGGCAAAACACATTTTCAACACAACTGCAAGAGACAGTCTATGAACTAATGGAAACTAGATACAATGTATACAATTACAACCAAGTGAAAATTATTTCCGAAGTATATTTTATCAGCCCTTTACCAGGCTACTGTTGGGAGTAAATTCACTCAGAACTTAACTTGTGGGAACTTCAAGTCAGGAGCCAAATGTAGACTGTAGCAAATTGAAACATCTTCCCCTCCTCTCAGCTATGTATGCAGACAGTGGTAGCGAGTGCCAGCTCAAATAACCACCCTCCACAGGCCATCCTTGATCTCGCCAGTCAGAATGGATCAAGCCATCTCTATATCCTCTCACAGCACATCTGCTATTTCCTTGGCATTTCATTCTGATGGATATCATGAGTTATCAGTTTCTTCCAAGCCTGACTTCCTACTACTTCTTGAACTCAGGAAATTTACATAGACTTAAAGCAGATGATCAAATGATCATATTGGCTGGCACTCAAATGTTTGCTCTATTAAGGTTGCATTTCTCAATCCTAAGCCTGTGGCTACAGTTTCAGTGGGGGGGGGGCGGTAAACACACACACACACACACACACACACGCACAAACACACCACAAACGTAAAAACAATTCAGCGTGAGAAAAAAAATCTCCCTTCTAGACCTACGTAGTAAAACAAAATGTTCTTAAACCGAACGGGAGGCACAAACGGAAATGAAAGAGACAAATGCATTAGAACCTTCAAAACTCCGTTTCTAATCCTGAATTACTTTCTCCACCTAGTTTCACAAACACCTTAGGCACCTCTTGCATCACAAAAAGACGGTATTCTACCTCGTGACTGATCCGTTCTTGGAATTAACGACCGTATCTCTCATTCTAAACGTCATTCAGGGGCACGTACTATTTATTTGTCTAATTCTGAACCCAGAGCAAAGGCCACTCCCAACGCCGGGTTAGGTAAAGGAAATGATCTTGGAAATGGTAAAGACTCTCCAACCAGCACTGGAGGCCCAAGAACAAACACTATGCGCAGAGGACGAAGGAACCGTAGCTAGGCTCCCAGGAAACGTGCTTTCGGGGTTTGATGGGGATGCACAGGGGCGTAAATTGCTGGGATTCGTTTCTGACCAGGCCTCCTTCGACGCCGGAGTCGCCCGGGTGAGGCCGCCCTCCCTCCACACCCCAGACCGCTGTCATCTTCCTCCGAAAGGCACAGAGATGACCACACTAATCGCGGCGCGCTCCCTCCGTCGTCCAGGACGTGGCCACCCCAGCCTAAGGAGAACGCGGGTCGGCGTCCTCAACCAGCCCGGCGCCTCGCGCCGCGTCCCCGCCACACACAGAGACCGGCCTCGGCTCTGGCGGGCCACTGCACACCCGACCCCGATTCGTAGCCGTGCCCGGAATCACCCATTACCTTCCCCAAGCAGATGTGGCACGTGATGGGCAGAGTGAGCGACAATGTAACGTTCTGCACGGTCTGAGCCATGGCAGCGTTCAGAATCCCGCCAACACGGAAGTCCCGCCGACCGCGGCTCCTTGCAGCGACTGAGGCCGCGCGAGGCCGGCTACGGTGGCCCAGTAGGGCCATGCGGCGCCTGTCGAGGCAACGAAAATGCGCTTTCCCAACGCACGGCTGCTGGAGCTGTTCCCTTCCTTCTTTCCTTGCTTTTCAGTTTGAAAAATACTCTCCCCGGTTCGGGAGCTACAGGATTCCTGAGAATGGGAAGGAAAGAGGTTTGCTACGGGCATCGAGGATCTTGAAAGTTTAAATGAAAGAGTAATGGTGGAGAGAGGAGAGGAAGATGCAGAAAGGCGATTTAAAATCCCAGGATCTTTCCTGGAGTGTGGGGAGGAGGGAAGAGTTTTCCGCCTAAAGATTAAACCCGACACAGAAAACACGGCGCAGTCAAAACGGGAAGAGGAAAGACGTTATCTGTACATTTTAACTTTTCCAAGCAACTTTCTACCGCGCTCAGGTCTTTTTACATTCTTAAATGATGTAATGTCACTTAAAAACGACAGTGATTGTCTCCTTGTTTGTTTCAGAGACGTTTTGCGTACATTAATAGCATCTTTCCGTGAAGACACGCTTTCACTGTTGGTCCTTCTGTGATTTCTATCCGAAAGACTTTAGGATCTGAGCCGTGGACTCTGATTTACACCCACATGTGAGAAAGCTGCAAAGAGCGTTAACCATCCACACTCCCCGACAGCACTCGCACAGGCGTTTAAAGCCTTCATTTCAGGCGCCTGGTTGGATATGAAATGTACCACTATGTTGCTGAACTCTGAAGAAGAATGTGTGATGTTATAAGTTAGCACTTCCTACCAATGAAAAAGAAAAAATCTGAAAGTTCCTAAATGAATCTTTGAGTATAACAGATTTGGAATTTAACTGCAATTTACTTTAAGTGAGGAAGAGCCAGTGTGATCAATTTATGCAAACAAATACAGTCTGTGAGTAGGGAGATTTAGAAACAAAACCAGTGCAAATACTTCTACTAATCTTTTTGTGGGAGAGAGCATTATAATTACAAGAAGCAGCCTCATGGTTAAAAGAAAGGGGTCTGGACCTGGGCTGCAGGGCAGAAATCCCTGCCTGAACAAATTCCTGGCTCTACTGACTTCAGACTATTTGTTTAACCTCTCTGCTTCTTAGCTTCCTCATTGGTAAAGTGTGTGTGTGTGTGTGTGTGTGTGTGTGTGTGTGTGTGTGTGTGTGTATTGAATGAGGTCAATGTATGTTTACTATCACGTCTACAAAAGCAACAGACAATTATGAGATTGGAGCAGCTAGTAATTCACTTGAAGTAGCCCAATTCCAGTTCAAAATCGGCTCACAGGTGATAGTGAGAATTCTTCCAAACAGCTCAGTAACTTAATTTCCTAGGAATTGGAGACCATCACATGCTTGGGATAGGAGATCTAGGCAAAATAGTCATATTGATTGTCCACTTTTTTTCTGAATGACTGGCCTAAAAGTCATCTGGTTTGCCTATTTCCTGGCTGTTTGGAGTCATATTAAATGGGGTCTCGGCTTCACATGTTTTGCTAAATGCATCTTTCATATTCCTGGCTGTAAATCTCAGGCTTCAGAATGTGAAAGCTCCAAGTCATTACCCACTGTCGTTCAAGGTTTGCCTTTTCCCCATCTTACTGTGTTCTTCCCTGTTCTCACCTTGTTCTCACCTTTTTTATACCTAATGTGGTATTTTAAGACCTGTCATTCCCACCCTCTGAGGGGGATGTAGGACTGAGACTGTTCTGCCTCTCACACCAAGCCTTGGAGACAATGTAATAGGAAGACACGTTGAAGACACTTTTTTAAAAAAAAGACTTTTCCAAAGCTACTAGGGAAAGTTCATTTCTTGTTAATCATCCTGATGATTGGTGTTAGTACTCAGTCACAAAAATATATTTAAAAAATCATAACCAACATTTTAAGTAGAATGTTTAAATCTAGACTATTTTGAACATCCCTCGTTTGTATCATTGTCACAGCTTCTCAGTGCTGTTCTAGTGCTCTGTCCATATAGCTCTTTTTGCACTAGGCTAATAACATTCTATTATAGTTGATTGTTTATTTGTTTGCCCCTACAACAGACTGTTTCTTGAGGCCCAGGATTGTATTTGATTTATCTAGTATCTGGTACTGAGTGACTAGTCCACAGACCATAATATTTTCTTTAGCCACAAACTACCTTTATTACAGACCTAGGCTGCTTTACACATTGTGTTTACTTGTTTTTCACTTCAAAATGGAAGACTGTATTGCATTTTGCTAATTACAAAAATATCAATAGTAAAAGTCGTCTTGAAAATTAAGCCATTTATAAATATATAAACTAATAAGCAAAAGTTCCTCTAGGCTTATGCCTTACCTCTCGATCCTGACTGGTAATCACTATCAACATTCTGGAGCATATCCTTACAAACATTTTCATTAATATATTATTGTGTGCATAAGCACAGATAGGATCATACCATAACATACCTGCTCTGCTCATTAATGCTTTGTGAATAAGTACACACACACACACACACACACACACACACACACACACCCCTGAGTAATATCATTAACAATACAGACTGACTAGGACTCTCTCTAGGTCCAGATTGATTCCAGGCCAATTCCCAGGCTTTGCTTTAAATAATTCAAATGCTTTAAGGCCAGGAGCTCTCTCTTCCCTCTGCCCTATGAAGGGCATTTCTCTTTTTTGGTGATGCACAAAATTAGCTATTTCACTTCTTAATACATGCACATTCTCCCAACACTCTGGAAGCTGGAGGCTTCCAAAATACGCTGACGTTGTCCTTGCTTTGAGTTTCACTGAATTCCCACCAGAATTCTGTGCATTGCTAACACTATATGCAAAGGGGTGGCAAGGAATAGCAGTGAATACACATACTGCAAGTACCCTCTCTGCTCACCTGTGTACTCCATGGTTCCTATTGACTTCACTTTCGAAAGTCCAAAGATGAAATGATTAAGAATATCAACATGGCAACATCAAAGCTTTAAACCAAGTACAGGACTCTTCTGAATGTAGGGCCCTGTGTGACTACACAGCTACATGTCCGTGAAGCTGTCCCTGTATGACCAATAGAGTATGGTAGAAGTGACATATATGACTGCCAAGGCTAGGTCATAAAAGTCACTGTAGGGCTTCCCTGGTGGCGCAGTGGTTGAGAGTCCGCCTGCCGATGCAGGGGACACGGGTTTGTGCCCCGATCCGGGAAGATCCCACATGCCGCGGAGCGGCTGGGCCCGTGAGCCATGGCCACTGGGCCTGCGCGTCCGGAGCCTGTGCTCCGCGACGGGAGAGGCCACAACAGTGAGAGGCCCGCGTACCGAAAAAAATAAATAAATAAAAAGTCACTGTAGCTTCTGCTTTGCTCTCTTGGATTGCTTGCCCTGTGGAAGTGCCTCAAATAACACTCAGACAGCATTGTGGAAATGCCTACTTGGGGAGGATCTGAAGCCTTTTGCCAACAGCCAACACAAACTTGCCAGTCATGTGACTAAGCCACCTTGGAAATGGGTCCTCTGGCCCCATTCACGCCTTCAGATGACTACAGCCCCAGTGAACATCTTGACTGCAACCTTCTGAAAGAACCCAAGCTTCAATTTCCCAGCTTAGTCACTTCTGAATTCCTACCTACAAAAACTATCAGAGATAATTAATATTTATTGTTGTTTTGAGTCACTCAGCTTCGGGGTGAATTGTCTCACAGCAATAGAAAACCAAAGCAATGCTTTAATTCACATTTGCTTTAATTTTAATAAGATATGGCATCTTGACAAATCATATTCTAAACAGACATTATTTGGCCCAAATCATTAAATAATGCTGCCATTACTTTAATAGGAAAACAAAGATTACATGGCTTGTTGACTTTCTGCTTAATTTCTTCCTCAGCTTCTTCTTAGCCCCATGAGGAGTCCTGTGACCTGAGGAGTTTGATCAGATACATACAGCACCTGGGATAGGCTAAAGCCTCCTAAATCCTTAGAATTATAAACTTTTAGAAGTAGGAAGGACCTTAGGGGGTTTTATGCAGGCCTTTCCTTTCACAAGGAAATTGAGGCCTAGATAAGGTAAACCACCAGATAATGGTAGAATTGGAGCTAAATCCTAGATCTCAGACTCTCTGAGATTGTTGGCTAAATGCCTTTATGTAAGTGCAAGATGTATTATTATTAATAAAGTAGCTCAGTAATAAAAAGTCAGTTACAATTGAATTTCTTTGCTAAGAAAACCATCAAATAGCCGTGGAACACCTTTTACTCCTTGTTTAAATCGGATTCATTTTTATGATAAATTATTTAAAAGCAAGTTTAAAAAAATATAAAATCTTAAGTGCTATTAAAAATTGATTAGGAATGCATTATTCTTTCATTGACCCAGTTCAGATTGTTTTTTAATTTTTTTGGTCAAAGCTAATAAATTTGAGTAGATGTTTCAGGCAGACGTTTTGTAATCATTTGGTCATCAGTCAATTAATCACAACTTCATAAATATTGATTTCAGATTGCGTTTATTTTTCATTCCTGAGACAGTCTTTTTTCTTTTTTTTGGCTTTAAATTTATACACCCCCAATTGGATTGCGGTTAACACTGAGAAAACTCATAAAAGTTGGATTAACAATTAATCAGAGGTGCTGGCCCAGTTGTATGGATGGTACCATCTTCGCACAGGCTGGGAATTTTGAGCTAAAATGCCTCAAGATGTCATCATGAAAGATGCTTCTTACTACAGCAGAAGGAAGAACTTGGCTTTTTCTTGCACAGTGGTTTTTTGTTGTTATCTTTTTGTTGTTTTTCTTTCTAGAATAGACTGTTGGAAGTTAGCATTTATTCATTTAATGTATTTTTATTAAAAACATTAAGGAAAACTAACTCAGACAGTTCATTTCATGGAGCTTACATTCTAGTAGAAAAGTTACACTTATGCTGTATTGGCTTGGAACCAAATCCTGGC